CAGAACATACCCCGAGATATCCGCCGCAGTCGTGTACATCGAGACCAACGAGATGACCAAGACCGTGGGGCATGAATACGGCTCCTAGTCTTGCGTTGACCATTTCGTCGATATCACCTGGTATGAATTGGTGGTTGTGGGTAGCTTTCACGAATCCATGACCTACATATGATAACCCAAAGCTCAATGGTTTCTAACATACCTGTAAGTAGCCCTGCCTTCTGGAGATGTGTGAGTATCACTTTTTCAGATAGGAGATGCATGTCGGTCCATCGAACTCCTTGAATGATGTCCATTGGGTCATGTGTCCATAGGTGAATTATAAAGGAATTCACCTGGTTTTGCTGCTTTGAACACCGCTCTATTTGCTTCGAGCACAGCATTGTATACCATTTTCTGCTTCTCGGTGAATTTTCCGTTCGCGGGAAATGAAGTGGTAATATCCGCCGCTGTAGTTATGGATGTTTATTTCGGACAGATCATAAGTTATGTCACAAAAATATTACGATTCCACCCTACCATAGCAATTGTATTCTGGTCCCATATCGAACAGACACATATCGCCATCCTCGATGAGCTTGTCGTTGGGGGCATTGGCGTGTCCATAGTGAAGAACTGAGCTGTTACGTCCTCTTAAAGTCACATTTCTTCAAAATCTGTGGATTACTGGCATCATCGCCCCTCGGGCAGGTATAGATGGCAATTCTGTCCTCTATTACTACATTGCGCAGAACACATCAAGGACAGGTCTAGTGTAACTCATCCCAGCGCGCAGTGGCCACGATGGTGCACTCTGACCCACACATCTTCCTAAGGTTGGTATCCTTCTCCCATCTTAGGGCTGTACCAGGTGAAAAAGAGGTTGCCTTTCAATTGATGCTGGCAAGTGGGAGACTTGCGTAAGCTGGTTGTAAGACAACCTCCCCTGACATTATTTCTCTCATCCACCTCTAGAGTTTCCGAAAATGCCGGCTAGATCAGGAACTAGTTAGATATCAGAGATCCAAGTTTAAGGAGAGAACATAACTCACGATGCTACAATGCATGTACTAGCGAGATGACGACATCCTCCATGATAGTAGCAAATGTGGCGGAAAACACTGTAATAGATACGAACCTATCTGTAATTCAGCCAGTGGGTACAAGCCCATTCCAATAATTCGAGAGTTTAGATTTTTTATTTTCCTGGCAAAATTGCTTTTACTTCAGTCAGGTGGATTATAGTAGGGATTAAGATTTAATTTATTCAAATAAGTTTATTTTTAAATATTTTTTTATTTCGGAATGTTGTTATCGCTCCTAGTAGTTGTGCATACCTTTCCATTTGGTATTCGCACATACCGGCACGTACCGCTTTCATAGTCGCCCGATGAGCTACAGAAG